TGACAGTAGCACCCCACCAAAACCCAGTTGTGACACTCAAAATTATCTTCTGGCACTGCAAAATGTTCCCCATTGAGAACCACTGCTCAAAAAATTAAATAAAATGTTTTAATAAAGTAGGCATTTATATCTGTGGTGGTTCAAATAAAACAGAGTAACAATATTGAACTTTACTTGTGCCTTTGGAAAACCATGTTCCAGAAATGACTTACTACTACGAAGAACCTCCTTTCCCCACATGACATGGATACAACTTACTGATGACCAGCTTGTTTACCTATAACAAGGCCAGACACACACCCTCTAAATTCCCATTCTTTTGTCTCATAAATGGGTAGGTGAACTCTTTGTCCCTTTTCCTACAAACCATCTAGACACACAGATAAACATTTCTTGTTCAGCTAACAGACTCCCCTGGTTACAGTAATAATCCCAAGTGTGCAATCCCTCCACCTATAACTTACCTAATTTTCCCTATAAAAGTCTAAAATAAAACCACCCTGAGGAGACATTGATTTTCAGATATGGGCTGGTTTCCCTATTGCAATAGCCTGAATAAAATCAATCTCTTTACTTGCTCAGTTTTTTTGTTTGCCTTTGACAAAAAATAGCACAGAAATGAGGTGGAAAAGTGGATGAGCCCAACTGAAAAAAAGTACAAACTTACAGGTATCAGATTAACCACTTTGGGGATGTAATGTATAGCAATGTGATTATAGCTAATAATGCTGCATCTTATATTTTAATGTTGTTGAAAGAATAGATCTCAAGTGTTCTCACCACAAAAATTATAAATGGTAACTATGTGGCTACATAACAGGCTGGGAGTGATAGCAAATACTATGGTGGTGTTAAAGAAATACACAGGCCTAAAATGGAATCACTTGTGCTAAGGCTCATGATACCAAACCTAGATTTAATACCTGCTCTAATTGCTGCTTCAATCTCTCCCAGATGTTTAGTCAACCAGTCTGGAATTTTCTGGTCAACACCATGAGGTCATCTGTTGCTCCCATAGAAAGAGCAGGGAATCTACATGATGAAAATGGTTGTCATTTCCTTCCCTCCAAAAGTAGATATCCTGGTCTAAAAATAATTCTTTCTTTTCTTTTGTTAATAGCTCCCTTGCCCCACTATTCTTCCTATAAAAACCTTCCATTTTGTACAACCCCTTGGAGCACACTTTAGTTGCTAGATGGAATGCTGCCTGATTTGTGAATCACTTATTAAAGCCAATTAGATCTTCAAGTTTACTGGGTTGAATTTTGTTTTTTAACAGCTACTATACTCAGAAGAAGTCATTGCAGTTGTTCTTTTCTTTTATTAGAGGTGAGATTCACAGCTTTTAATTTCTTCCTTTACCTGTGTGTCTCTCTCTTTAGGGATGTCTAAGAAGCGAGGGATTCTACAAATGTTAGAATCACTATTATTGTCACAGCAATGAAGTGGATGTCACACCATTTAATTTCCCAATACTTTCACCTGCACCTCATACAATACTAGCATTGATGATAACTTGAGTAATTGTGATGCCACTTTCTGCCATGTGTTATTCATGCCCCATTTCGCCCTCACAAAGAAGTTATCCCTGAGCTTTTCAAATTATAACCAACCCAGTACTAGACCTTATTTTGAGACTTTATTTTCTGATGCCAGTCCTAGTACCCTTTACTATATCCATCAAGTCCTGATAGGATTCAGATGACACATTGAATTTAGAATAACTTGAGAAGAGTTTAATAAGGCAATATTTACAAAAGTATGGTCAGAGTTTAGGGAAATCACAAAGAGATGTGCAGTAACTTGTGGCTATTAAGAGAAAGTTGCATTACAGTAGCAAAGACTTTGGTCTGAGCGATGCAGCCAGCCCCCAGTGACCTGCAGGGAGGGACACAGGGAATAAATACCCAAATCTCACTCGTTTTCCCTCTTGCTAGTCTTCCCCCATTGACACAACCCAACGGGAAGCCAGAGGGAAACGAAATCTCTCTATGTAGACTACAAGATTAGCCTTCCTGGGCAACAGGGCAGGGTAGAATATGGGCTAGGAGCAAATGGAAAATATCCAACATCAGTGAGAGAGCTTAGCCATTGGAGAGAGCTTAGGCGGTCCAGCTTTCGCTCTCTAGAAATGTTACAGGAAAGAAATGAGCCTAGGTGGGGCTGCTTTGGCTCCCTGGAAAGTCAGAGAAAAGGGGCCTTGGAGACAGGTTCAGGGAGTTAGCCCAGGACGAGAGGCTGCTGCCCATTGCTCCCCTGGTTGCAAGTCTCATGGGGACCCTTAGAGTTTAGAAGATGCACACTTGAGAGGGAAGAAAGGTGTGGGCATGCTCCCAGAAGGGAGAGTGTGCGAAGAATGACTCCTTTTTAATTTGAACTGATAGCAGTTGCCATTTTCTGAGATGGGAGACTGTAGAGTTTAGTATATGGGGGTAGAATTAATTTTTTTCTTGAACTGTAATATACATTCAGAAGAGGACACATATAAGTTGATGAGTTTTTACAAACTAATCACACTTTTGTTATCAGCTTCTATCCAGATCAAGAAGCACGACTCTCTCAGCACCCAGGAAGCCCTCTCAGTTTCCCTTGCAGTCAACATCTCCCTGTGCCCCTAGATAACAACCAGCCTATCTAACACTACAGATTATTTGGCCTGTTTTGTACTTTTTGTATCAATGAAATCATACACTGTGTCTGGTTTTTTTACTCAACTCATTATGTTTGCAACGTTCACCCAGAATTTACATATAGTGTCAGTTTGTTCCTTCTCAGTGTGGGAACATACTACAATTTATTTATCCATGCTTTTGTTAATGGGCACTTGGATAGTTTCCATGTTTTGGCTATTAATAATAGTGCTGCTGTGAAGATATTTGCACCTGTCTTTTGTTGAGGAGTGGAATTACTGGGTTATAGGATATACATATGTGCAGCAATAGTAGATTCTGCCATTTTTCCAATGTGACTAACAAATTACCAGCAACCTGAGAGTTCTGCTTCCCTCACATCCTCACTAACACTTGGCATTCTCAGCCGTTTTTCATTACAGCCTTTCTTTTGGGTAAATAGTGGTCTCTCTATTTAAATGAGCACTTCATTCGAATTTCCCCCCCTTAAAATTGAGAACCTTTTCATGTTTATTGGTCGTTTGGATATCATGTTTTATGATGTGTCCAAATTGTTTTTTTGTCTATTTTTAAGCGGAGTTGTTCTTGTTCTTATTAACTTGTAAAACTTCTTCACATATTCTGAATATAAATTATTTTTTAGATATATGTGTTTTTCTTCAACTTCATGGTTGCTTTTTCACTATCAATGATATCTTTTGATGAGCAGTTCTTCATTTTAATATATTCCAGGTTATCAAATTGTGCTTCCCTTTTACCTCTTGTTAAAGGAGTCTCTCCCTACCCCAAAACCATGAAGCCATGTTTGTGTCTCTAATTTTTATGTTTTACCTTTCACATTTAGTTCTGCCATTATTCTGGAATGATTTTTGTACGTGTTATGAGAGTGGGATTGCTTTTATTTTTTTCCACGTGAATGTGCAATGCACCCAGCTTTACTGAAAAGACGGTTTGTTTTGGATTTGGGGTGGCGGGTACGCCCCACTGAAATCATTGCCGTCACACTCAACGTGACAATGTGCGTTGGTCTGTTCTCTTGCATCAGTCAGTTTTCTACTCTCGCAAGAAAAAGAGTTTGACTCTATTTAAAGTTCAAAAAACACGTAAAACTCTTCTATGATGTGGGAGGGGGGAATCTCTCCTTCTATATAACCCTTCTTGGCTAGGGCTCTATAACAAAAGACAGATTAACAAGAGAAAAGCAAAGTGACATTCGAGTTTCATAGGAAATGAAGACACAAAGGAGTGATTAAACCTGACCACTTTTATGCTAGTTTATTGCAGGTAGTCATGACCTAAGATAAAATTTTCCCTGACAAAGGTCAATCTTTACCTTAACTAAACCTGTCTATTGTCTTCTGCATCTACAATAACATACCACTGGAATGTCAGGGTGACTTCCTTTTATCCAGATCCCACAGGGCATAATCAGTGCACCAGGGCAGAGACCATAAATTCTCTCCTTGTTATCGTTATCATGTTAATTGCTGACTGTTAACTATCCTGTACCCACCTATGTAAAAGATGTATGTTTCTATCATTTTATTTTTCATCCAATCCCAGAGGTTTCCCTGCTTTGCTTCCCCCCACCTCCCTAATCTATCATCAATGGATTTCATGTAACCCACTTACATCTCCTCTTTTGGTTGTAATGTATAAAATAAGGTGCAAAACTGCCATTCTCTGGAGCATTATCTCAATCCATTGAGATTTTGCTTCCCAGAAATTGTTGACAGTTTAGCTCAAATAAACTCACAAAAATCCTCTATAGGTTTGAATGCTCTTACATTGACAGATCAATGGGACAAACAAAAGGGTCGAGGGTGTTGCCAAGGTTTACAAGTGGACAGGTAAGATTCCTATTATTTGAGTTTGAGAAGGTGGAGTCCGCAGTTTGCTTTGGGGCATTTATAGTGCCTGTAAAATGTCCAAGTGGAGAATGTCTCATTCCTCCTGGAATTCAGGTGTGGGGTTGAGGGTGGACGTTTGTGTCTTAAGTGTATAAATTGTTCTTAAAGCGGTGAGATTCGTTGTATCAAAAGAATGATTATAAGAAGCCTAAGAACTGAGTCCCAAGGCACTCAAACAATTAGAAGTTGGGGACATGTGCTCAACCATCAGAATCCACCTGGCCACCACCTCCCTGCCCGCCTAAGCTCAGAACTACATTTCCCAGAATCCTTTCCGCCCCGTGCTTCTGGGTTAGAGCGGCCAATGAGTCCCGCGTGATTTAGAAGGCGGAAGTGAAGCGGAAGCCATTATTCTCGGGAGGCGTTTGGCGCTATACACATGGGCTGTGGAGAGCTCCCCTGCGGTTTCCTTCCAGCTGTTGGCGACCCTCCGCCTCCCCGCGGCAGACTGGACCTTCCGTTTGAACTTCTCGACTCTTGGGCGGCAGCTTCCGTGACCTCCGCTCCCCCGGATTTTACCCTGTCGGGTAAGCCCTGCTTTCCCCCTTTAACCCTTTACTCTCGGCTTTCCTGAGGCCACGAGAGGCCCGCAAGGCAGACGGGGACCTGGGACTGGAAAGCCAGGCAGCCAGGCTTGGAGTGTGTTTAAGACCCTGTCATCAGCGGTATGAAACTCTAATGACGCGAGGACTGAAATTTAGGACCATATTTAGCGACATATTTAGGCACTGGTGATCTGGGGTAAAAAAAAAAAAAAAAAAAAAAAAGCAAAAAAAACCCTAACACCTTGTGGTGGGGACGTAAAAAGCCCGGCCGAGTGAATTCAGGGCATTATGGGCGCTCAGGAAATGGAGACCGTGAGGATAAATTACCTTCCGTTTGTTTTTGTGGTCAATTTCCTTTGTGGTCAGCTTGTCTAATATGAATTGTGGCAGCATTTGTCTTGAATGCCTTTTATACTCAAACTTTTAGTTGATTCTTATGCAAATAGCCTATAACTAGATTTAAAAATTCAGTTCGACATTATTTAACTTGAGAGTTAGTCCATTAATAGTTATTGTAGTTACTAACATTTTGCATTGATTTTTACTACCTTATTTGGTTCCTTTTATTTATCCGCTCATAGGACATAGGTGCAAAGAAAAACCCACAAACGCATGAAAACACATACAATTAAAAGGACAACAATAAAGCAAATCCACAAATCAGTCCAAGAAAATATTATGAAACCTCAGAAACCTGTGTGCTCCTAAATTGCAACCTCCTCTTCTCCCAAGATTCTCTTTTTGGATTTTACTGTTTATAAGTTCTTCCCAAAAATGTATTTCCTAATTTGAGTAATTATTTTTTACTAGACTCACAATCTAAAGTACTTTCAGATACATCCTTTTTCCTATATTTGTGCAGCTGCAGATTCTAATTTAGAGATTTCTAAATATCTTATAGGTGACTTTTGTACACATACCCATTCTTTTTGAGGTACCTTATGGCTTAAATTTTATTTTATTTTTTCAAAATATTTTTATTGATTGATTTTTAAAGAGAGGAAGAGAGAGAGAAACATTGAATTACTGTTCTACTTATTTATGCATTCATTGGTGTTTCTTGTTATGTGCCTGACCAGCAATGGAACCCACAACCTTGGTTTTATTGGGACTGTACTAACCAACTACCCAGCCAGGGCCTTACTAAATTTTAGAGTCAGTTTACAAAGTTCCACCTACTGGGGTTTTGTTTTCAGGTTGTGTTGAATATTAATTTTGAGAATATTGACATTATTATGCCATTGAATCTTATGATTAATCAAATTATGTACATTTACATCTTCTATAATGCCTTTTAATAAGGTTTTATAAGTACTAACAAAAAGGATTTTGGGGGGTTTTTTGTTAGATTTATTCCTGGGAGCGTGTGCATGCACTTTAAAATTAATTTTTTTCCAAAGCTTTGTATATTGAATTTAAGTTCTGCAGGGTTACTGAAGTATATAATTCTCTTAATTTTCATGTAGTGTTTTGGATGTTTTTGTCTGTATAGAATGAATAAGTAAATATTTATATATTTTTTTTGCTTAGTACACGATTTACTTTTTTTGCTGGAATAGCTGAGGACAGCTGGGGACTTCTGATAGCACTGAATGGAATTTGGATAGGAGGTAGTCCTGTTTTCTTTTTTACTTTAAGGGGAATGGACTTTAATGCTTACTGGAAGCTTTTTTTAAATTAATTTTTTAAGTTGATTTGAGAGAGGGGAAGAGAGAGAGAGGGATGGATTTGTTGTTCCACTTACATTGTTGATTTTTTAATTTTTTAAGAAAGAGGAAGTGGGAAAGAGAAACATGCATGGCGTTTCCATCGACTGCCTCCCGCACATGCCCCGGCTGCAACCTGGGTATGTGCCCTGACTGGGAATCAAACCGGCAACCTTGGCATATCGGGACTTTGCTCTAACCAACCGAGCTACCTGCCCAGGGCCTAGAAGCTTTTTTGAGAGAGTATTTAATAGGTGGAGGAAGCGCTCTTCTTTTCCTAGTTTAGGAGCTCTTCATTTTTCTCATGAACAGCTGTAGCTTTTTACAAGTGATCCTCCCCCCCAAGCATCTACTTTGATATCTGTTGATGTATTTCAAGCACCTTAAAGATGCCTGGCCTGTGATAGGTGGCTACTACTGTTTGTGCATGGAATGAATGAGTGAATAATATGCTTGTCTTACTTGTCTGATAGTGTGGTGAACTATACCAATGAACTTTTCTAGTATTATATTAAATTTGCATTGGTAAATAACTTACTTGGAAAGGATACTTACTATTGTATCATTTTTGGTGATTCAGATTTATGTTTGAGTGAAATTGGCTTGTAATTTTCCTTTCCTTTGCAGGTTTGTGCCAGCCTTATAAAATGGGGTGGGGCTGTTCCCTCTTTTTCCTAAACTCTGGAGTATTTTGCCTAAGAATAAACTGACTTTTTCCATAAAGAGAGTTATACCAAGAAAAACTACTTAGCTCTGGAGTTTTCTTTGTGGGAAGTTTTAAAGCTATTGGTTCAGTTCCTTTAAGGGTTATAAGGCATTTAAGTTCTCTATTTCATTATGGTAAGTAAAATTTCTTTAGGAATTTATTCATTCTATCTAAGGTTTAAATTGTATAGTCAAAGTTGTTAATAATGTCATCTTACTATGTTTTTAATGCTTGCTACATCTGTAATGTTTTTTCACTCCTATGTATACGTTTCTTCTTTTAAAAAAATAAACCCTGTCAGAATTTTTGTCAATTTTGTTTTTCTCAAAGAACTTTCGACTTGATTGAACTTTATAATATGAATGTTTTCTATTTCATAACTTTCTGTTCTTTATAATTTTCTTCCCTTTTTTAAAAAAAATATATATATATATCTTTATTGATTTCAGAGAGAGGAAAGGAGAGGGAGAGAGAGAGATAGAAGCATCAATGATGAGAGAGTCATTGAACAGCCACCTCCTGCACGCCCTCAACTGGGGATCAAGCCCGCAACCCGGTCACGTGCCCTGACCGGGAATCGACCCTGATCTCCTGGATCCTAGGTTGCCGCTCAACTGCCGAGCCACGCTCTCCAGGCCCCTTTACTTTTTTGAGGGTCACTCTTTCTAGCTTCTTACATTGGGTATCTGTCACATTCCACAGAAGTGCAGCATGTAGTATTATATTTCAGTTCTAAATATTATGAATATTATGACTTCCTTGACATGTGAATCATTTAGAATTTTCTCTTTTAATTTCCATTCCTATGGCTTTGTTGTTGTTATCTTCTGGTCATTGTTTGCTTAACTTCATTGCACTGGTCAGAGATCGATGCCATTTCTGAGACATATATTGTGCTTGTGTGGTTGGAGTTTCTAGTTAGGAAGTGCTGTCTCATCTTACTCAGTCCGTGTATAGTTACTGAATTATCCACCTAAACTATTTCAGTGAGAGTTCTGGTAGTGGCTTTGTCCATTCTTCTTAGAGTTCTGTCCTTTTTCAATGTTTTCATATTTTTGAGGCTGTGTCATAACATATACGGGTATATACGGCTTTTTCTTGAATTATACTTTTCATTATGTAATACCTCAGTTTTCTCTATGAGCCTTTTTGCCTTAATCCATTCTTTCTGGTGTTAATATTATAAAGCAGCTTAAAAAAATGTATGTGCCTTATATATATGTTTATTTCCATTCTTGTTATATCCCTATGTGTTAGATGTCTCTTATAAACAATATTTTTTTAATCTATTTTGAGAATATCTATTTTAGTTCAAGCGTTTAGTTCATTAACATTTATGTGTTAATATGTTTGGTTGTTGACTTTGTTCTGTCTTTTCAGTTTCTTTTTTCTAGCTTCCTTTTGAGTATTTTTTATTCCACTTTTTTCTCTGAGCATTTTGAATTTATTTTACATATATATTTACTCTGAAGAAGTTGGCCTTAGAAGGGAGGGCACACATCTCCTTGTTTGTAATAAGAGAGAAAGAGAAAATCATAGATCAGTTGGGAGGAAATTTTATATAACTAGAGACCAGAAAGTAAGAAAGATTTCTTCTACCCCTTTAAAGTATAATTTGCAAGAAAATGCATAGATCTTAGGTGATCAGTTTGATGAATTTTTTTGACAGTTGTATGCATTGTGTAACCACTAACTAAAAAAAATATATGTAGAAAATTTCACTTGCCCCAAGAAGTTTCCTCTCTGTTCCCTCAGTCTATCCCCATCTCATGCTTCTCCATCGAGGCAACCATTTTTTTACTATAGACTTAAACAACTTTTGCCATTGACTTAAGTTTTGCCTATTCGTGGACATCGTGTAATTGGAATCAGAATTTCTTGTGTCTACCGTCTGATGGTCAATATATAGAGATTTGTGTATGTCTCAGTAGTTTCTTTTTATTGCTGACTAGTATTTCGTTGTACACGTCACAATTTGTTTATTCTCTTGTTGATGGATATTTAGATTGCTTACACTTTTTGGCTATTATGAATCAGATTGCTGTATCTCTGATAAATATCTAGGCATGGAATTGCTTAGTCAAATGGTAGGTGTACTATTTAAGAAACTGGCAAATTGTTTTCCAAAATGTTTGAACCGTTTCACATTTCCACCATCAGTGTATGAGAGTTGAGGGTATGCCACATCCTTGTCAACATTTAATGCTGGTGGGCTTTTTTATTTTGGCTGCTCTAGTGGGTTGAAATGCTGTATCATTAGTTTTAATTTGCATTTATCAGATAACTAATGATGTTGAGCACTTTTGCCATGCTTGTTATATTTCTCATTAAATATCGTAAAGTGTCTTAATTCTAGCTTTTTTTTTCGTACCTTTTTTATTGTTTTGTAGGAGTGCTTTAATCTGAATATGAATTTTTTGTCAGGTATATGTGTACTACAAATATTTTCCCCCAATCTGTTGCCTTTTTTTTTTATTGAGGTATAACTAACATAACATTATTTCAGTTTCAGTTATACAACAAAATGATTCGATATTTTTATATATTTATTGAAAAATGATCACAATAAGTGCAGTTAACATCCATCATCATACACAGTTACAAAAATTCTTATGGTGAGAACTTTCAAGGTCCACTCTGTAGCTACTTTCAAGTATGCAGTATACTGTTATTAACTATAGTCACCATGCTATACGTTACATCCCTGTGACTTACTTCATAACTGGAAACTTGTACTTCTTGACCTCATTTACCCATTTCATCAACCACTGCCTCAGGCAGCCACCAGTCTGTTCTCCATATCCCTGACCTTAGTTTTTGTTTTGTTTTGCTTTGCTTTTTTTAAGTTTCCACATATAAATGATAATTTTTTCTGGCTGACATTTCACTTAGTATAATGCCCTCAAGTTCCATTGATGTCCCAAAGGCAAGATTTTTATGGCTAAATAATATTCATATATCACATTTTCTATGTTCGTTCATTCATTGATGGGCGTTTAGGTTGTTTCCGTGCCTTGACTATTGTAAATAAAGCTGTAATGAACATGGAGGTGGAGATATCTTTTCAAATTAGTGTATTCATTTTCAGATAAATACCCAGATGTGGAATTGCTGGATTACATGGTGGTTTAATTTTTAATTTTTTGAGGAAACGCCATACTGTGTTCCATAGTGGCTGAACCAATTTACATTTCTACCAACAGTGCACAAACGTTCCCTTTCCCTAATATCCTGGTCAACACTTGTTATCTCTCTTCTTTCTTATATAGCCATTCTAATAGGTGTAAGGTGATAGCTCATGGTTTTGATTAGCATTTCTCTGATGATTAGTGATATTGAGCACCTTTTCATCTGCTTCCTGGCCATTTGTATGTCTTTGGAAAAATGTCTATTCAGGGCCTCTGCCCATTTTTTATTTGGATTTTTTTTTTTTTTTTTTTGCTATTGAGTTGTATGAGTTCTTTATATGTTTTGGATATTAACCCCTTGTCAGATATATGATTTTCAAATATTTTCTCCCATTCAGTAGGTTGCCTTTTCATTTTTCTGGTTGTTATTACTGTGAAAGGAATATCAGATTACTTGCTGGAACATGCTGAAAGTAAGGGTAATGTTAGACAGTTTTTTATTCAGAAAAACTTGAGATTTTACCTGGTTATGGGAAGATTGGATTGCCTAGTATGCTTTTCTTTAGTGTAGATATTCCTTTAGGGTTAACATCTTTGAGTTTTGAAGGTGACCAGTTGTGTGCAGACTGGTTTTCCCAGCTCTCTTCAGGGAGGAGGTAGATGGTTAGAATCATCCAGGGCTGGTCTTTTGCTCATTCAGGGTTATAATAGGCAGAGGAATTTGTACAAATAACTTGTAGAAGTAATGGATTGTGATGAATCTCTGCTTGATAGGTAGAGCAGTGAGAAGAGGAATTTGCTGTTCGAGAGCAAGATTATAGAAGCATGAGTGTCCTAGAATCCTGTGTAAAGTGAAGAGTTCATGCAAGAAGAATGTTGTGTAGAAGTTTTATCAGAGAGCAGATTTCTAAATCATTGCCTGTGAGGTAAAGTTGGTAACTAGAGATAACTAGGACAGTGCGTTGGCCCACAGTTGTATATGTTGGTGTAGAGTGTGGGGCCAAATAGCATTGGAGATTGGAACATGGAGTTCTAAATGGATCATCCTCATGAATACTAGAACCATCCTCAACCTTAACAAGCATTAAAGTTGAAGAACAGAAGTCGGGCCCAAATATTCAATGAGTGAAGGAGTTTAACAGAGTTGTACTTGGTGACACTTTACTTGGGAGAATGAATCTGAATCTTTCTTGAGGCAGGTCAGTGTTGTCCACCACATTGCCTGAAGGTTTTGCCAAAGGTAAAGGCTTAGGATCAGATAGAATTTGCTGTTCAAAAGAAATACTGGAAGGCAAAAATCATAATTATCCTATGAGCAAGAGAGGTAGCCTTGACTTCTAGTAGTCTTTCTCTCTTTTACTACAGATGCCTGCTCAAAGAGTCCCATGAGAGCAAGAGAGTAGCATTCTGATGCCAGTGCTCTGTTGTTCTTCAAATTTATTATCATTCTCACAGGATGGCAGCTGTTGATCTCTCTCCCACATGTGGTAAGTTCTTGGGGTAAAGAATACCCTCAGAAATCAAGCTTAAATGGCCACTGCCACTTCACCAAGGTCAGGTGTGTGCAAGGACAGAGGGAGGGCTGCCAAAGGAGGATGGATGAACTATAAAGCAGTGGGACCAAAGTCCTGAGAGGCCCCCCAGGTGACTGACTGATTTATGCAGGGTCTCTGTGAGTTTGCATGAGGGAGGGAGTGTGTGTAGTTGGTGTGAAAGGAAGAACACAAGTATGGGTAACCCTGTACTATTCCATTTCTAATTTTGATAACTCTGAGCAAAGTAAAAGCCCTACCTCTTAAAGCTTTAATTTCTTTGCTCATAAGTTGAGAATATATATCACTTTTGTTATGGGTATGTTGGCCCACATCCTTTTTCCCTGTCTTTGAGTAGAGCAGGGCTGCTCTGGATTCTTACCAAACATGTATGTGTGTATATTGATTGGGGATGTGTACTGCACACTTACAGTTTAGTGGTTTGTGAGTGTCAGGCAAACTTTAGTTCTTATGGATCCTGTTTTCTCTAGCTATATCCACCCAGGACCCTGCCCATATCCAGGAGTCAGAAATTCCTCTTGCTTCAAAAGGCCATTCTTGTCACCAGGATGTGGACCTATTTGCTTGTAATGACCTGGAGCCTCATATGCCAACTAATGCTGGCACCCAGGTACACCAAAATCTCTGGGCCCCTGAGGGTGGGAGAGGCACTTCCTAGAACACCCTCAGTATCACATGATAAAATTTTTTTAGACCTTTATTCTGGCTAATTGATGCCTGATCAGGGATCAGGAGAAAGAGCCAAAGAATGTTGGGGGGCTGACCTGGTATCAGGGTTGTTAGGGAAAAAGACTTATGTACCAAATATTTCTCTTGTAATATGGTTCATAGCACTTGGGCCAGGCTAAAAGTGGACAGATATTTTGGTCCCATGTCAAAGTTGCCTTTGAGGCACTCATAGGGAAGAGAAGACAACTGCTGACTGGCTTCTGGAGTAAATGTTGAGACACCAGAACCCCATATTGGAACCCCATCCTGTGATTCGAGTCTCTCATACCCAGTCCTCAGTCTCTGCCATCTTTGAGCTCAGACTGGTTTCTCACTGACCACAAATGTGTGCGGTGTTTCAGGACTCAGTGACTTTCCAGGATGTTGCAGTGGACTTTACTGAGAAGGAGTGGCCCTTGCTGGATTCTTCTCAGAGAAAACTATACAAAGATGTGATGTTGGAGAATTATAGCAACCTTGCCTCAGTGGGTAAGACTGGCACCATTTTTTCATTTATGAGTCAAATGATTTTGTTTTAAGTACTTGCTATGACCTAGGAGCTGGGTGGGGATTTGGAACACAATTGTGACCTGGTGCCTGCCCTCCTGGTGTCTCCCCATGGATATTGAGACCTATTATATTGACCTTGGAGGTTGTCAAGTGTGTCTGAGCTTGGACATAGGTTTATGAATTGAGTAATCCTTAACTTCTGAGTTAAGAAATCTTTTGAAGGGCAAAACATGTGGGTATTTGTGGTTATGTTTTTTGTAATAGGTTTTCACTGTGCCCCTTAGAAATTTGTCACCATCATTTTGCTGCTCCTAAGTCAGTCTTGTCCATCTTCAGAACTCTGACTTCAGAACACGTGTCCTCTGCACGATCCTTCCTCAACATGTATCTTTCCCCGTGAGTAGGGTGTCAGGTGGGGAAACCCAGCCTCATCTTCCACTTGGAGCAAGAAGAGGAGCTGAGAACAGAGGAGAGGGGACTTCCCCAAGGCACATATCCCGGTAAGCACCAGGCAAAAACAAGTGCTTCTGAGTATTCTATCCAGTGATTGGAGTGGAGGGAGATCCATTAGGAAATGTCACCCAGGGAAATTTGAAAATGCTCATTCTCTTTCTCTGCTCCTCCATTCTCTCACAGATCTTTGGTTTCACTGCCCTTTCACCTTTATATTTAAGATGTCCACATGGACTCTTTCTTCTGTTCTTTCAAATTCAACATTTCTGATCATATTCTTTCTGTCATTATTAATGTTGATCTTTGGAGAATTACTTCTTAGTGTGCTGCCCCAAATGTCTACCCCTGTCATTGCCAAGTATCACACAGCCAAATTTTTCAGTCATTTTGACTCATGCATTCTTCCTTTTCACCTCACCTTTCCTTTTTTAGGGTTAGTATTTGCAAAAAAATTTATCTATTTTTGTCACTAGCATTTCACCATTTTCTTTTATCAGCAAGTTTATCTTTTTCCAATTTGTTTCAGATTGGGAGATTCCATCTAAAACTAAATGGTCCATTCTCATGGAAGATATTTTTGGGAAGGAAACATCCAGTGGTGTGACAGTGGTAAGATTTCCTTGGGATAACTCTGGATCTTCCATATTAGGAGACGACTGGGCCAGTGTAAGTTAGAAAAGGAGCTCAAGAACTAGGCAGGTGGCATTCCCCAAGAGGAAGCAGTGTTAGAGACACTAATATTACCACTTACTAACCCCAAACTTTTCCACTTAGAGTTCTGATGAGTAAATATTTCTGTATCTCCGATAATTGAGTGTTGGGGCTCATTTCAGTTAACAAAGTGTATTTTGTAAAAAGCTTTGTAACGGTTACACACATGGAACCTTAGGGCATACATAGCATTCACCTGTTCTATTTGATAGAGTCCAAAGGGAGCAGGAGCAGTACTTTTGCACTGTAAATTATGACATCTTTAGTCATAATGATGTGCTTGAATTTATGTCAGTTTATGTGGGGATAATTCTTAGGAATGTAATGAATATTGGAAATGCCTTAATCAGCACTCATCTTAAATCAATAGGAAAGAACTCATCTTGGAGAGAAATCCACTGAATATGCTCACCTGTTTGAAGTCTTCAGCATGGGGGCTCATCTTACTCAGCAAATCACTGGCAAGAGGCCCTATCACCACCAAGACTATGGGGTAGTTTTCAAAAACAGGCCACATCTAACCCAACATGTGAGCATTTACAGTGGGAGAAAAATGCATGAATGTAATCAGTGCCAAAAAACCTTCACCACGAGTGCTTCCCTTACACGACACAGGAGAATTCACACTGGGGAGAAACCCTATGAATGCAATGTCTGTGGGAAAGCTTTCAATGATCCCTCAGCCCTTAGGAGTCATGGGAGAACTCACCTCACAGAGAAGCCCTATGACTGTAGTCAGTGTGGAAATGCCTTCCGGACCCTCTCCTCCCTGAAGATACACATGAGAGTTCACACTGGGGAGCGACCTTACAAGTGTGATGAATGTGGGAAGGCATATGGCAGGAGCTGCCACCTTATTGCACACAAAAGAACACACACTGGAGAGAGACCCTATGAATGTCAAGACTGTGGGAAAGCTTTCCAGCATCCCTCACATCTCAAAGAGCATGTCAGGAATCACACTGGAGAGAAACCCTATGAATGCACACAGTGTGGAAAAGCCTTTCGATGGAAGTCTAACTTTAATTTGCACAAGAAGAACCACATGGTAGAGAAAACATATGAATGTAAAGAATGTGGGAAGTCCTTTGGTGATCTCTTATCACGGAGAAAACACATGCGAATTCATATTGTAAAGAAACCTGTTGAATGTAGGCAGTGTGGGAAAGCATTCAGAAACCAGTCCATCCTTAAGACACACATGAATTCTCACACTGGAGAGAAACCATACGGATGCGATCTGTGTGGGAAAGCCTTCAGTGCAAGCTCAAACCTAACTGCACACAGGAAAATACACACTCAAGAGAGACGCTATGAATGTGCTGCCTGTGGGAAAGTCTTCAGCGATTACTTATCCCGGAGGAGGCACATGAGCATTCATCTTGTAAAGAAACGTGTCGAATGTAGACAGTGTGGGAAAACCTTCAGAAACCAGTCAACTCTTAAGACACACATGAGAAGTCACACAGGAGAGAAGCCGTACGAGTGTGATCACTGTGGAAAAGCCTTCAGCATAGGCTCAAACCTTAATGTTCACAGGAGAATACACACTGGGGAGAAACCCTATGAATGCTTGGCCTGTGGGAAGGCCTTCAGTGATCATTCATCTCTTCGAAGTCATGTCAAAACTCACCGGGGAGAGAAACTCATAGTGTCATCAGTGTGGAAGAGGCTCCAGTGACACACCTTCTTTAAGAAACATGAAAGCTCAGACTGAAAGGAAACTTTACAAGCGTCAAGAAGGCAGGAAAGTCTTTATGAATTCATCTTACTGAGCACAAGGAAATACATATAACTTGGGAGAAATATAGTTTGTGTAATAACTGGAAAAACTTGAGTTCTTATCACTTTAGAGATTTGTGAGAGTTAATGCTGGGGGAGAAAATGTGTGTCTGTGGTGTGGAAAAGCCATCAGTGTATATTTAACTCTTAACAAACATGACAACTTAGGAAGAGAAACCCTAGCCTAGTATTTAATGTTGAAATGACTATAGAACCACCTGGCACCTTCTGGGCACATGAGTAAGCACACTAGGGAAAATCTGTAAATCCAACACTAGGCAAACAATTGTTGGTCGTCTTGTATTCCTCATAAGAGAACACAAAAGAGAAACATATAAAGTAAGAAACATGGAAAAGTTAGTAATAGGTCATCAAACTAAGCCAGCTGTCTGTTTTTGTACAGTTCTCAAGCTAAGAATAGTTTACATTTTTAAGGAGGAAGAATATGTGACAGAGACTGTGTGTGGCCCACAAAGTCTAAAATACTTGCTGTCTGGCCCTTTACGGAAAAAAATTGCCAACCCCTGTTGCAGAGCAGTGTTTCTTAATGGGGTGGTTTTGCTCCCCAGGAGACATTTGGCAATTTCTGAAGACATTTTTGGTTGTTACAACTGGGGAATGTGTTACCGACATGTAGTTGGAAGACATCAAGGATGCTGCTAAATAGCCTACAATGCAGAGGAGCCTCCCAGAATAAAGACTTATATGCCCCAAAATGTTAATATTGCTGAGATTGAGAAACCTTGGCCTAGAACAACTTAATTTTTATGAAACTTGAGTATTCATGATAGGAGAATTTCTATTTAAAACTTCAAAAATATAATCAGTATAATTCTTTCAGGAAACCTATAAGAACCCACACAATCCCTATGTGGAGATGATTTCAGCCATAGCCCCCTCACTTGTGCTTATGAGAATTCACTCACACCCCAAAGGAATTTTCTAGAGAATGTGAAATTGTATTTGATATCTTTCATCGTGAAAACAGACCCTAGCTCATAGATCTTTATTCTTTGCTTTAAGGTTATTCTCTAAATGGCTCAGGCCACATCACAAAAGGTTTGTATGTAGTATTTTTATTATTATTTCATTCTTAATGTTTTAACTTCCTTTTGGATCACTTACTTGACCAATAGACTCTTTAGAATCTTACGTAATGTGTAACATGGTTATTTTTAGTGCCTGTTTGTTATGAGTATCTAAATCAAATGCATTGTGACCAGACCATGGTGTCATCTTCAGATGTGCCCTTTGGGATGTTTGAGCCAACAGTGGCATATACTTCTAGTTGCTTCCCTAGTATCTCATCTTCCACATCAAGAAAACTCAATTTTTGTCAGATTAGTAAGGTGTACTATTTTTAAAATCTCTTACAAGTTTCCTTACAACTAGTACAGTCCATGTTCCACAGCCAGTCCATTAACAAATAAGCAGATGTTACTGCGTGGTCTCTGAGAAGACTCTTGAAAAGGGCCATTTTTCTCCACATGTTTTGTTTTTTTGCTCTTCCCCCTACTTCTCACCTGGCAAGGAGATCCAGTACCTAGTGTTAAAAGATCCATCTTGTGACCGTGAGGATGCAAGGCACAGGCTAAGGAGGATCCTGCAGGAAATTCACAAACAATTCTGGCCTCCCCAGTGGCTTCTTTGAGTTTCTATACTAGCCCTGAATTTGTTATTTCCAGACTTCCTGTTACATGAAAAAATAAAACTGATTATTGGTTTAAGCTGCTTTGGATATTTCATTTTTTTCTATTAGTTTTTTTTATTGGTGGAGGGAGGGTTCTGCCTCATCCTGCTGGATGCTGTCTAACCCATTCACTTAGCCACTAGTGAGTTTTTATAACTGCTGCATGTGGGTATAATCTCCTTATGCTCTTAATTGTTGGATATGGGTTTTTAAATTCTTCAAGTCAAGTTTTAAAATTGCATTTCATATCTTTGATCAACTTAGACATTTAATTTCCCAACTTGTATTGAAGAACTGTATTCATTTTCACAGAAGTGCTGAGTGGAAATCTACTTTATTCAGTTTCTTCTTGAGAAGAAAACTCTTTGTAAATGTCCTACAGAAATATAGTAGCTTTCTGTTCACCCTTTGCAAGTAAAAAGGGTGGGTCGTTCCACTACTGACACATTTTTAAAAGTGCTAAGAAGCAGGGGCCATCAGTTTCTTTTGCATGTGGAGGCAAGGAAATTTAGATACTTGTCTGAGGCAAACCTGTTAGCAAGTAGTAGTGCTTGTATTAAACCCTGGTGTCTGGTTCCCGAGTCCGTATTTCTCTTATGTCAGGCCTTGTTCTGTGCCCCGGTCTGGAGTGAATCAGGATATTTGCCTTCATGTTGCTCACATTCTACTTGGGGTTGAGGCACCTGATAAATGAATGTATATAATATCTCTGATGATGGTCAGTGCAGTGGAGGAAAAAGTAAGCATGGTGATGATAATGTGGGATTCAGTGGAGCTGAGGAATTAGTAATTTTTTTTTCCTTTTCAATGCTCTGGAATAATTTATACAGCATTAGTACTCTGTGGTTTTAGATTTGCTAGAATTCCCTGTGAAACCATCTGGGACAAGTGCTTTTCTAGTGGGATATTTTCTTAGGAACTTTATTTCTTTTATGGTCATTGCTCTGTTTTAAGCTTTCTAACTTGAATGGTGTCAATGTTGGTAATCTGTATTTTCCTAGGAGATTGTCCAATTCATCTGGTAAAGGTCAGCAAAGTTATCTTAAGAGTTTAAAAATGTTTTCTGATTCAGTGGTCATCACCTATTTTTTGTATATTTGCTTTTTCTTTTCCTGAATCAAATGAGCTAGTGGTTTATTTGTGTGCGTGTGTGTTTTAAAAAAATGGAATTTTGACTAGTTAGATCTATTGTTGTTTTGTTTTCCTCATTTCCCCCCCCTGAAAATCAAAAAAACAAAAACTTTATTTAATTCCATCCTAACAGCACCAGGTGCAGTGTCTGGGGACAGACAGGATGCAACGCTGTGTGACCACTCACATAATGTGACTCCAAGAAAGCCTGGAGGGGAGCCTATCTCCAGGGAGCTGAGCCAAGGGGAAGAGGGGAGTCCCCAATGAGGTAGGGACAGACATGGAGAAAAGGCGCTACTTCTTGGCAAAGGAGATCTTCATGGGGTACTTCTGGGTGATCTTGAAGTCCTGTAGGGAGTTGTGAGCAGCCCCTGCCTGCACCTCATTGTCAAACTCGATGACTGCCATGTCGTGCTGCCCTGGGACAAGCTAGACCTCCTTGAAGACGGAACTAGTTGAAAAATATAGACAGCATGAACTCATTGGTGGTCTCTGGCAGGCTGGTGAGGAACAAGATGTGATTTAGTGGGTTTTCTGAAAGAGGCTCGGTAGGTGGCACCTGGCCTTACATAAGCTGCTGTTGGGGGCATGGCCCCCAGTGGGATCTGGCCACATTTGAAGCCTGGAGATGGGATCATGCCGGGGGATGGCATGTAGGGAGGCTGGCCCTGAATGTGGTGCATGATGTGGGGTGCCTGAGTCCTTGGCAGCATGCCCTGGACTGGCTGTGGGACAGCCCCCACCATGAGGGCGACTGTCCCACCCTGCACCACCGTCTTATTAGCGGCTGGGTTCTACTGGCTCTTGGCTTTTCTCTTCTCCTGCTTATGTTCCTGCTCCACGAAGGTGCCCTTCATCTTAACAATGATATCTGAGTCAGCCTTGGCATACTGGATACACCTGGGCTTGTAGAAGGGGAAACCTGCATGGAGTACAGGTATTGGTGCTGCTGACCTCCTTGAAGATGACAAAGGCTTGGTCCTCATCACCAGGCTCCATGACATCAGGATATTCAGGATCTGGTCAAACTGTGAGAAGGTGGCATACAGGGACTGCTTCAGCTTATCCTTCTTGATCTGATGTAATTGTGGCTGGGGCAGGTCTGAGGAACTGTTGGAGGGAGGTGCTGTGGTTGGGCAATGGTGCCTAAGGTTTGGCAAGTGGCTCCTGCTACGTTTCTCAGTGCTAAGTACCTTCCTTATTAGTTTCTGCTTTTATCCCCATTTTTTCTTTATGCTTTTGGTTTATTTTTTCCCTTTTTTAAACTGGTAATTAATTTGTTCTTAATCTTTTATTTTATTGACAAGTATTTTGTGTAGTGAATTTTCCTCTAGTCACTCCTTTAAAATGCATTCCATAGATTCTAATATATAAATCTTGATAATAATTTCTTTAAAGTTCTGTAATTTCATTTTGTATTTCTCCTTTTACTCAGGTGCTAATGAGAGGTTTTTAAATGTCCAGGTAGAAGAGCTTTTTGGTTTTGTTAATAAGTTCTAAGTGTATTATATGTTGATTTTCTGCAATTTAAATATAGTATGCCTCTATGTAGATTTTCTTTGGTATTGATCCTGCTTGGTGATCTCTTAGCTTCTTGGATCTGTGGTAGTTCCCCTCTCATAAGTCCAAAATCTCTGCCATACCAAAGTGTGGTTCTGATGCTTGCCCTCTCTCTTTAGATTGTTATATTTTTCTTGCCTTTTGACGTGTCTTGCAGTTTTTTGTTGCAAAGCTTGACATGATGTGTTGGGTAAAAGGAACAGCAGTAGATAAATAGGCCTTTAATGGGTTTTTTCTAGCTAGAAGTTAGCCTGTTTACTGGTTGCTGTAACTATTGTATCAGAGACTAGTTTTCTCTAGTATCCTTATTTTTGTCTCCCCTGTTTTCTTTGGGTTCTTCTACAGACTCCTTAAATAGGGCTAAGACTAGCAATTCTTTTAACTGTATTCCCATTATACAGGAGCCCTAGAAAATTCTTCTTGCCCTTTAGTGTAAGGAACACAACAAGTTCCTTTATATGTCTTTAGCCCACTGCTACTTTTTTGAATTCAGAATAAAATCTGATTTTTTTTTCCAAACCTACCCATTTACTCCTTGGGAATCTAAATAAATAAATCTGCTTCCTAAAGACAAGTTCCAGACTCAGACCCTTTACAATTGTTTTGACTTAATGTTTTTCATAATTTTTTAAAAACTACCTTCTCCACCCCACACAAAAGATGTCATATTTGAATATTTTTTACATAGATTAACTACAGTCTTTCACACACCACAGTAAGGTAGCCAGTCACATGCAGAAGACAGGTGAGAAGAGTCAGCTTATCAGCTAGAAACTGCGACCCTTTGTCAGAGTGCTGACTGCTCTGCCTTTCATGTCTGCATCAATTAATGAGTCAGTCGGGCTGGTGGTGCGTGATGGAGGGGCACATGGTCAGAGGGCTTCTGTCTTACACTCGCCTTCCTGAAGTCCCTGCACCCTTCCTCTCCCCTTGGAATGCTTTTGTGCAGGTGTTTGGGTAAGCCGTGGGGGCACTTTCACATCCTTGAGTGAAGGTTCTGAATGTTGCATAGGCCTTGGTCAGTAGTTTTCCCAGACCATTAGTGAAGAAATAGCAACCATTGCCTGGCTCTTGCCTAGTTTGGAAAAAATAAATGTATGTACCCTAGAGGCCAGGCCTAAGGGGAAGAGAGCACTTCTTTCAGCATTGAGTAAAATGGGGCTATTTCTTTAATTAGGAGCCCTGGAAATCAATGCAGTTACTCCCTTTGTGCCCAGTCCCTCCATCACATTAATTAGCACAGAAAGAAACTGAATTCCCATTGCTACCTAAGTGTCCCAGGGCTCTTGAGTCTCATTACACTTCCTGCCAGTTCTTGAAACAGACAATATCTTACACAATCTCTCTGGAGGGGACTTCTAATTATACTCTTACCTAGTCTTGTGTCATTATGGCTTTCAATTCTTGGAGCCTCTCAGCAGTAAGCAGTTCTGTCTTGTGTAATATTTGGGTAACACCAATTCACTCAGGATTTTTTCCTCTCTGGAGAACTAGTGACTATCAGTTAAGTGTCTTACACAGAATTAGGCTTTGGGAAGAAAGATAATAAGACATACTACTGTCCTTAAAGGAGTAAAGGTCAAGGAGGAGGGACAGATGTAAACAATAAATAAGATAGTTAGTGTGGCCCGTTAATCATTCAGGAAGTCTTGAGAAGAGGTTGTTGGACTTGGAGTGGTCAAGGGAACCGTATGGAAGAGGCAATGCAAGCCGAGTGCAGAAGGCGTATGTACAATGTTGAATGAGTGTGCCAATCCTGAGTGTAAGGCACAGAAAGAATTCTCTGACATGTAAAAGAACAATCTTAGAAGCAAGAGATAAAGCTGGAGGGGGAAAATGAGACAGATTATGTAACACACAGAAACATATGTTAGCACTACATACCACTCTCAATTTAAATGTTAATGGAAGTTAAAGGAAATCCATTGACATCTGATGAGATTTGCAGTTGAGAAAGGTGACCTGTGCCCCATAGTAGAATGGAATAAAGGGGTCCTGTTTATATTTGCTGCATAGTGAATTACCCAAAGCACAGTGGTTTAATACAACCACAGTTTATTTAGTTAACTGTTCTGTTGGTTGACAGCTTGGGCTGTGCTTAGCTGGGCTTACTCATGTCTGCAGTCAGCTGCCAGTTTGACTTGGGGGTCAGTTGCTTCTCACTCAGGTCACATCGTCAAACCATGTAGGTGGGGCCTGTATACAAGCTGCCAGAAGGCTCAGAAGAGTACAGGCTCCACTGTGCAGGTGTCTGTTGAGTCCCTGCTTGTGTCATATTTGCCCTGCACCCCGTTGCCCAGTGCAATCACAGGGTAAGCCCAGAGTGGAAAGGTATTCAGAGTTATCCAGAAGGTGCGTAGGCACAGGAAAGTGAAGAAATCGTAGCTATTTTTGCAGTCACCACAGGGCCAGTGTTTATCACAAGTGTCTAGTGGAGAGGGAATAGCTTTCTATAGATAAAATTGACATATAATACATTCTTGAAATACACAATTTGATTAGCTTTGACCTCTGCGTACACTTGTGAAGCCATCACCACAGTCAAGCTGGTGAGCCCCCAAAGTTTCCTATCCCTTTGTAATCCTGATTGTTCCCCAGACAGCCAGTGAGCAGGCAAGGTTCTTGTCCTCTGGAGTGTTGAGGTATTAAAATCTGTTCATCTGCTTATTCAACAGATGGCTTCTATTGAAGACCTAAGGCTCTTCCATGCAAGGACTCGCTTGACTAGAGACTGGTATCTTAGTTGCGTTCTGTTCTGGGCCTTAGGAAAGCCAGGGTCTTCCCCTCACTTCATTGTTTCTGCATTTCCTTTCCTGATTCTTCTGAGTCAAGGTAGATCAGTGCTGCTTACCCAGGAGTGGTTTTGCTCCTTAGGGGCATTTGGCAATTTTAAGTGTTAATGACTGAGGCGTGAGGGTGGGGAAGCTATTAGCATCTAGTGTATAAGGCCAGGGATGCTAGTAAATTTTCTACAACGCATAGGACAACCCCACATCATAAAGAATTATCTGGCCCCAAATGTTAACAATACCCAGGTTGAAACACTGTGGTAGAGGAATACTTTTCTCTACCAGGAAGTAATTGAAAGATAGAGGACAAATCAGATAGTGCTCTAGGCTCATTCGTATGGTCCCGTTCTCCTGGCTACTTCTAATCTGCCCAGGTCACCAGGGCCAAGTGCTCCATAGGATGGTTGGTAGTAAGAGCTTCTGGCACTGAATGAAGTGATTTTTTTCCCCAGAAGCAGTCAGCTTGTATCTCACCGTCAGACATCTCTGGTGAAGGCAGCTGGGCAGAGCTTTCCAGGTTACAGCATCCTGCCAGTAGATGGCATAAGATGGGAGCACAAATAAATGCTGTGTTCATAAATATGATGCCCACTACTTTTTGAGAATCTATATATTAGATATTTAACACTTAATTTTCTGCAATCACCCCAACAACTATTTACACATAAAGAGTCCAAGGCTGTTTAGAGATAGTCAGTAGTATCCTAATAAATGGTAAAAAGGATTCAAACATTGGAATCTGAATCCAGTGATCACCAAGAGGGTTCCATGGGCATCAAGACAACGCAAGACAGATGTTGACAGATTTTTATTTTTAAGTTTTTACTTTTTGCTCTCAGGTTAAGAAATTCACCCCATGAGCTGAACCAGTATAAAGAATGCTTTGTTTTCCCAGTTCCCTGTTGTCGGAAGTCTTTGTCTGGGGTCATATCCTGGTCTAATCCTTAGTTTCTAGTCCAGGAACTTTCTCTCCTGGACCTGCTGGACTCTACAGATCTGATCAGCATGTGGTGCTCCTAGGACTGAGGCTTGCACAGGCCCCCCTCTCCTACATGGCTTTCTTGGTGCTCTGAGAGTTCTGGGGATGTATACAACCCCATCTAAACCCATATCCAGATCAACTCTAGCCAGTTCCAACTCTGTTCTGCTGATAGCAGATCCCTCCTCTGCACTTGCACCCCTACCCCCCACACACCTCCGTGGCAGTACAGCTATTTAATGGGGTTTCAAGGACAGAGGAGTCCCTGGCTGGCTGTTTATAATCTCTGCACCCTTTGTGTGGTCAATATAGACCTCGGTGGCCCTCATGGATCTTGTGGTGACTAACAATTATTGAGTGCTTGTGGCAGACACTGTTCTGAGCTCCCTTATGTGTAACGTTTAATCCCTGCCAGAACTCTTTAGGAAACGTTATTGCCATCCCTGTTGTTATGGATGAGGGTATGGAGGCACAGAGAAGTAACTTGGGCAAGATCGTACCGTTTGTTAGTGAATGATGAAAATATTTGAGCCCGGACTCCTCTTAGCCACTATGTTATGCTGCCCCTCAGTATATGGTAAGTGCTATGAAAACTGGAATGAGTGGAGGGGTGGCCAGGGTAGGCCTCTGAAGAGCAGACAGTTTTGATCTGAAGCCTAACTTGTGAGAAGGAGCCAGGCATGTGAAGATTTGGTGGAGCATGAACCAGGCAAGGATGACAGAGTGGACTGCTTTGGACTCCCATTGCAGATCTGCTGACCCGTATGGATCAATAACAGAACTTTCTCCCAAAGTAGACACTACAAAGAAGTTTTTATTCAAGTCCTCAGTATAGGTCAATGGCCACCACCAAAGGAAAATACAGCAAGTAAAATTCTATGGGGTCATGGAGGTCAGTATGAGACAGTTCAGAAAATGGTTCCAGACAGACCAGGGAAAACTTGGTCCAGTGGGCATGGTGCTTTGTTTTAGCTAGAACATAACGGGTAAAGATGAGTCATTAATGTGTAAACACTTGTCACTCTGCCTTCTCCCCTGCTGCATTCCTTGACTTGCTTTCTCCCCCTTTGATGCGTGCAGGAGTCTGCATTCTCGAAAGTTTATTTGCACAAGAAGTTTAGTTATTGGTTGGTCATGCTTTTTCCTTGGTAGATGGTGGGCCTTTGGGTGTGCTACTTCACGTTTGTCTTTGGTTCGGGTGTCTTCTAGTACACCAGGAATAGCATTTCTTCTCCATGTCTTCAGACTACATATTCAGGAACATTATCAGCACTTTGGGTCTCCATTGTCCTTAACTTGCATAATCTCACCAAGAGTAAGCTTCTCTACTGAAAAGTTTCCTCAGAGCCTTTTTCATGTCCCTGTTCCTCAGACTATAGATGAAAGGGTTCAGCATGGGGGTAACCACTGTGTACATCACCGAGGCTATTGAACCCTTTCTGGAGGGGTGAGCTGTTCCAGAAGTGAGGTAGACCCCAAGGCCAGCACCGTAGAACAAGGAGACAACTGAGAGGTGAGACCCACAGGTAGAAAAGACTTTATACTTACCCCCAGCAGATGAAATGCCCATTATGGAGGAGATAATTCTAGAATAAGAAAAAAGAATCCCAGTCAGGGGAATGACACCCAGCAGGCTAGTTATAAAATGCTGTAGGATGTTGTTGGCAAGGGTGTCAGAGCAGGCAAGCTTGAGGATCTGAGCAAGTTCACAGAAGAAGTGGGGGATTTCTGTTTCTTTGCAAAAGGACACCCTCAATACCATCAGACTTTGCAGCAAAGAATAGGTCAGGCAGATTAACCAAGAAAGCAGCAGCAGGAGACTACAAAGGCGAGGGCTCATGATGACTGTGTAGTGTAAGGGGTGGCAGATTGCCACAAACCGGTCATAGGCCATCACTGTCAGGAGCAAATCATCTAGCCCAGCAAAAATCATGAAGAAATACATCTGGGTCATACAACCTTCATACATGATGTCTTTGCTCTGTGTCTGAATGTTCACCAGCATCTTCGGGACGGTGGTGGAGGTGAAACAGATGTCAACAAAGGACAAGTTGGACAGGAAGAAGTACATGGGGGTGTGGAGGCGGGAGTCGGAGCTGATGGCCGCAATGATGAGCAGGTTTCCTGTAACACAGACTAGGTACATGGACAGGAACAGCCCAAAGAGGTGGGGCTGCAGGTCCATGTCTTGGGAAAGTCCCAGAAGGATGAATTTTGAAGTAGCTGTTTGGTTCCCTGCTTCCATAATATTTATGGGAATTGCCTGAAGGAGGCAAGAATAATGTTGAAACAGTAACAAAACAGGAATGTGCCACCCATTTCAAACTCATTCATTAAGTTTTATGTTTTATCTAAGAGAGTTGTTTTCTTACGTTGCTGAAAATCTCTTCAGTAATAACCTTTCCTTCCCTGCTTCCACCACTACTACCTGGAACACCTCCTCTTTAAAATGAATGTCCCACACTATTCAGGGTTCTCCTTTGCAAACTGCCCTAGAAATCCCGTGTGCCACCTATTTGCCCTTCCCCTCTCCAACTACTGGCGCCCAACCACTGATCTTGCTGTCACTATAATTTTGCCTTTTTGAGAATGTCATGTGGTTAGAATCATGCAACGTTTGCAGACTGGCTTCCTTCACTTAGCAATATATAAGATTTCTCTATGTATTTTCATGGCTTGATAGCTCATTTCTTTTTATTGCTAAATAAGATTCCATTGTCTGGATATACTACAGTTTCCATTTCCTATTGAAGATCTTGGTTGCTTCTAATTTTGGCATTTATGAATAAAGCTACATAAAATTTGCAGGTGTATGTGCATACATAAGTTTGCAGTTCACTTGGGTCAACACTAGGAATGCAGCTTCTGGATTATGTTTTCCTCTAAAGAAATAGCAAGTAATAATAATGATAACCCATCAAACTTAATGAGACTATCACATGTTGGTGATTGGCATGACAATGTATGAAAAGACTCCTTTTGGCTCAGAGATCAAGTTAGTAAGTATTAAGAGCCTTCCAAATGGGAATCCTCTATTTTAGTTCTAGGTATGAGACTGTCGGTAGTCTTACTGCTTATGGTACTTTGAATGCACTGTAGAGCATTGCTGTTGGAGTATAATGTTTATAGTTGTGGAAGTTTTTGAACAACCCAAATGGAGTGGTTAAAAAACACTAACCAACATGACAAAGTGAACATGTTATAATGTTAAATAGAAAGAATAGGACAGAAAGCCATTCACATAGAACATTAGCAAGTTAGAGATGAACTGTGACCGGAAAGAAATTCACCAGGATGTTCATGTTGCTTATATCTCTGAGAGGTAAGATTCTGGGTACTTACTTTCTTTTTCACTTCTTTTTCTGTACTTTCTTAATTTTCCACAATGAGCATATATTATTTTGTGATCAGAAAAAAATTAGAGAGAAATATATTCCTATCTTAAAACAGGTTTCAAGATGCCGCCTCTTCTCCCTTTTCCCCTGGGGCAGGTCAGGTACAGAGTAATCACTCAGTAAAAGATAATTTATCGTGAGCCATTATGATAGTATTTAAAAGATGAAAGACAAGAGAAAGCAGAAGGAAGAGAAACAAATATGAGATGAAAACAAGGAAACGAAGCTGTAGAATAAGTCAGAGTCCTCCAGAGAAAGAGAACCAGCGGGGGGTGGGGGTGTGGGGGCGTGTGTGTGTGTGTGTGTGTGTGTGTATAGAAAGATTTATTGTAAGGAATTGGCTCATGTGGTTATGGAGGCTGACAAGTCCCGATCTCCACTTGGCAAGTTGGAGACCCAGGAGAGCCACTGTGTAGTTTCTGTCTGAGCTCAGAGGCCTGAGAACCAGGAGAGCTGATGGTGTAGTTTCAGTCTGAAAGCTGGCAGGCTTGAACAGAAAGAACTGATGTTTTACTTCTAGTCTGAAAGCAGGATAAAAAAACAACACCCAATGTCCCAGCCCAAAGGTAGTCAGGCAGAAGGAATTCTCTTTTACTCAGCCTTAATGTTCTATGCAGGCCTTCGACTGGTCAGCTGAGGCCTACTCCCATCAGGGAGGGCAATCTGCCTCACTCAGTGTAGGGATTCAAGTGCTAATCTCATCTAGAAACCACCCAAGACACCCAGAATAATGTCTGAACAAATATTTACCATCAGATACATGCTCTGTATATATTTCTATATGATCACAAAATCATATAGATTATAATTATGTGTTCAGTTCAAAGGGCTGAAAAGGTCTGCACCTGGCTGCAGTGACAATGAGTTTGATTATGAAATGGGAATGATATCCATTGCCTTCAGGCCTCTCTGATGGGAGGCAGACATTATTGACCAGTCAGCAAAGAATTGGAGATAATTACCTTGATTTTGAATATTTGGTGGTGGCGGTAGTAGTGGGGGGGGAGGGTTTGTGTGTAGCATGCAGAATAAAAGATGTAGAATAAAAGATGTAGGGCATATTTTTCAGATATGGGAGGATTATAATCAGGTGAGAAATGCAAATTTTATTGCTTCAGGATTCCTAGGATCTTAGGAAGACAGGCTGCAGGAACTTTGTGGGAACACCTGAACCTCAGGTATGTAGTAGGACATGAGAAGTCAGGAATGGGTGGAGATGGCTGTTGCTACAATACCTTTTTTTTTTAATCCTCACCTGAGGATATTTTTTCCATTGCTTTTCAGAGACAGTGGAAGGGAAAGAGACGGAGGGAGGGAGGGAGCAATATCGATGTGAGAGAGACACATGGATTGGCCTCCTGCACGTTCCCCAAGCCTCCCACATGTGTCCCAACAAGGGCAGAGGGATCTAGCCCATAACCGAGGTACGTGCCCTTGGCTGGAATCAAACCTGGGACCCTTCAGTCCACGGGCTGATGCTCTAACCTCTGAGATAAACTGGCTAGGGCACTACAATACTTTTTTATAAAATAGGTGAATATATGAAGATTATTATTTAGGAAGACTCTGTCTTTGGTTCAAAATGACAAAATAAACTGCCCCTGGGCACTTTCTTCACTCACCAATGCTGCTTTAATTCAGATCCTGCTAATCTCTCATCTGTGCTACAAATAGATTGGCACCCATTTGGCCCATTCTGCAGGGGATGTGAGAATAAATCCAGTCTCAGTATTGTGTGCATCTTATAATTATTCGGTGGCTCTGTATCCCTCCAGGAGAGAGCCCAAACTCCAGTGCCCTCCATGATCTGACCCCCATCCTGTTGCTCTGTCTTTACCTCCCATTCCACCACCCTCTTCCTGCCTTCTAATCCATCCTTTGTATTAAGGAGGAAATCTCCCAAAACTTTTCAGTGAGGCAGAAGGATAACTATCACTGTGAAGTGTTGTCTAATTGCCTGCCTAATTCTCTCACTTTCTGGGGGAAGGTCCCTTGGCGTAGGACCTAGACTCTATGAAGTTAATGCTCATAGGAATTTAATAAATTGCAAGTGATTTTTGTCCAGCATTCATTCAAATTATTTTTTTTTTTCAGCTAAAAAGATTACCCCCAAAGTTATTGTTTATTGCCCTGTAGGAATCTCTATCAGGTAGAAAAGATAACCCCAAAGGCTATGGTTTTATTTTCCTATATTTTTACATCTAACTTAGAAAACTAATGCCATCATTCCTTTCCTGCCTATATAAATTTCTGTTCTTCAAATGCTCTGCAAACTAGCTTTGCTCCCCTTGCTCCTCATTAATAAGTCTTCGGCATGTGCTCTATATATATCTGTGTGAGTCACATTTTTATCCATTGGAAAACAATGCTTTGACATCAGATATTCAGCGTCTTACAATTCTGGGGACATTCTGTGTAGTTTCATAGCTTTGGACCTTTGCATTTACCAGGTCCTCCTCCTCCCTTAGTCACATGGACGAGTCCTATTCCTGTTCCCACACTGTCCTGAAATCTTATATTGACACCCCCACGCAGCACCCTCTTTGGACACTCTCTGTACCTTGGTAGACTGGACTACACATGGGGCAAGCCATCACCTCACATGCATCTGTTTGTTTCTAGACTTTTCATCCGCCCAGGAGAGCAGCGCATCGTAGCTACCTCTCTATGTGCAGCACTTAGCTCTGTGTCAGGAACAGGGGAGATGCTCTATAGATGTAGAAATGTCCCATCAAAGCAAAAATTGGGGGAGGAAACATTCAAGTGAGTGGAGAGAAGTTATGAGGGGAAGGCCCACAGCTGAGAGGCAGTGAAGAACAGCGGACCTGAAGACAGAAGGAAGGTCTAGAGAACATGAGGTCTAGTGAGGCTTGGAAGCCTGTCCCGAGCGAGGCCTTTAACTTGATTTTGTTGGGCTTTTCTTCCTCTACATCCCTGCCCACATGCCAGGAAAGCACGCAAGTGAAAGTTTTGTTCCCCTCTTACCTGTGCCACAGCAGCTTCTGAGAATCCTCGAGCATCACGATGGAATTTCTGAAGGTCTGCGCTCTATTATCTTTGCTTCTCCCAACGGACGACAAATAAAGACGCAGGAACAGGGATGAAGTGCTGAGCGCAGCGCCCAGGGGAGTTTCCTCCTGGCCTGGGCCAGGTGAGCCTAAAGTGAAGGGCACAAGAGGATTATTTGGTTCTGAATCCCCTTGCGTCTCATTAAATAAATTGCTATTTTAACGGAATGTTTCTGGAGAGCCCCTCCTGTGAGGGTCAGTGGAGTGATCTCCCCTCACTGGGAGGATTGAAGCCATGTGTTGGATCCTAAGTGCCAGGTTTTGAGTTCTGTGTGCCATGTAGCTGTTTTCATTTCATCTGCAAAATCCCCCTCAAAGTCTGCGTGAACACTTTATTATTATTTTATAGAAGAGGAAAGAAGCAAAGCATTTCTGTGTCATCTGTGCAGGTCATGAGGCAGAAAGGAGTGAAACCAAGTTTAAATCCGTAGTCTGACTCCTGACCTGGCGCACCTGGCTGGTGTTCTCCCCCTGCCAACCTGACTATTTATTCACTTCCCCGGACGCTCTGGGAAGAGACCGCGGACTCACTGTGTCTCCCCTTGGGGGCTTTCCAATAGACCACAGCAAAGAGCAGTGAGTAAACCTGCTGTAGCAACTTCATAGGAACAACGGATGGCTGGATCACAGGCAAAGAGCACAGCGTCGCACACAGTAATTTAGGGCAAAGCCCCTGTCCTGGATATCCCAGTAGAGCTGTCCCCTTCCTCCATTCATGCATTCAGCCCAGTCAATCTCAGAGAGACATGTCAGGGTCTTGGTTCCATTTCTACTCAGGAAACTAGAAACAGTTTAAAAGTATACCTCAGATATGCCTGTGGGTAAGACCTCTGGACTCTGCTTAAAACTTTCTAAAGGTTGGGAAACTTAATTTTGAATCCTTGTCTGCTCTACTACTATCTCTGTGACATGGGGCAAGTTCTTAATATCTCTGAGCCTGACTTGATTCCGAGTTGACACAACCACGTTGAATGATTGACAGATAGCGGATGCTCCCTGTGGGGTCAATGTGTGGTGGGTGCAGTACGTAAAGGAAGGGAAAAGTAAGTTTTAGATATCACCTTTAATAATAATAATGCCAATCCTTACGCCAGTCAACTTAAATGTTGATGGTATGATATCCCTTGGCCCCTGCCGGGGAAGCCATACTGCCTACGCTCTTTATTAACCAAAGGAGTGTGTGCAATATCTGGAAGAGATTTCTTCTGTTGTGTATTCTTTGCTTCCTCTGTGATGAGAAAGTACAGGCCCTAGGGATTGAAAAATGAATGAGACACAATAATTTTTCTCCAAATACTAAGTGGGTGACAAAAATAAAATTTTTCAGACAGCAAAGTGGACAAAATTAAGAGGTATACTTAGGAAATAATTCATGAATTTTTGTTTCCTGGTACCAGTCAAAAATTGATTAATTTTGACGTTAGAAGCCTGGCAGTGTAAGAGGTTACCCTAGTCTTTGTCCTTGAAGTTACAGTTTGAACAGCTATAATTCAACAAAGGATTCCCTGCTCAATACACAAACATCTGAGAGATCCACGCTGTTATGCAAAGTGCTGAGGTCCCAGAAAAACTCACTGTATTTTTTGTGGATTCCAAAGAAATAACCCAGAGGATTGGCTGTGAAAGACATGGCTTTATTAGAATTAACCTGCTCACCAGTGGCCGCTGACCGGTGACATTTACTGCCACACCAGCTGCCACTGGTGAAGTTGTCCCGCTAAGTCCCACCCAGCCTGCGAATGGGCCAGTGAGCCGCACCAGGAGCAGCTGGCCTGCGAGTGGGCCAGTGAGCCGCACCAGGAGCAGCTGGCCAGTGCTCTTATTTTGCCGCCACCTAGACTTTCCCAGCACAAGGTTTTAGAGAGCACAGAAAACAGAGAAAAACGGCCTGCAGGGGTACGTGTGTAAGCTGTGTGAGGTCAAAATACTATCTGTTTACGATCCAGGCTCACATCTAGAAGCAGGTTCTCTTTGGCCTTTCCTAGACTGAGTTGCTGGCCAGGCTCCCAGGGTCTCACAGTCTGCTTACAGACGGCCTTCACTGTATTTCCCATAGGGTGGGAGGGGGAGTTGGAGCATGGGAAGGGGCCCATGTTCCCATTTACCATACATGCACATTGAAACATCCAATGGTGGGCACATTGGAGCAAACGGGAGGTAGGAAGGAAGAAAAGCAGAGCCGGGTGCCGCAGATGCTGCCTGAAGCTCACTGCATATCTCAGCAGAGGGGAGAAGTCAGGTTGCAGCCTGCATTCCCTGAAGCCTTGAAGATCAGAGAGGTAGAGGGAGCATCCCTGCTTGCGCAGAGCAGAGACAGAGTGCAGACATACGGCTACAATTGTCTGGCAGCTGCCATTGCCAGGCAGAAAAACAAAGCCACAGAGTTTGGATACCTCCCCTCACCTTCCCAGAGCTAGCAGTGGGCCCCAGAAGAAGCTGTAGCAGTGAAGGCTGGGCTACAGAGCACACTATATGCAACCCTGGGAACTGGAGAGGCAGAAGCATTTTCCCCCAAGGGGAAGGCACATGCTTGGGCTAAATCAAGAGACAAGGATGGTGATACAGAGGTAAAGGAACTGAGGTCTGACAAGGAGAGCAAAGCCACAAATGCATTATCCAGCCTATCTCAGCTCACCCCACTCCCACCCACTGTGGCTGAGCCTAGTGGAGGCACCTAGGACTCCTCCAGCAGTGAAGAACTGCTGACAGTGTCTGGCTACAGAGAATAGCACTGAGATTTCATGGGATCAGAACCCCATCACCCTCCACTTTCCCCCACAGAAGTGGTGCCCTGAGACTTAGCAACCTGTTCACAAAGGAGATACCCACCTCCTCAGGGAATACAGGGCATTTTTCACCTTCCTGCATGAGCAGGAATCCAGAGAGGATAGCAGTGCAAGAGAAACTTTAAAACTTGCACTTCAGCGCCACCTACTGGAAAACTAATTAAGACTTTACCAGCCTACTAACTAGAGAAGTGCCACTCTTAAAAACAAACAAAGCAGACTTTATTCCCATAAATGCTTAGGCAGAGAAAGAATCCATCAAATACCAGGAAAAATCAAGGTAATAAGGCAGCTAGAAATAAAATCTCTAGAAGGTAAAGACATGGAAATATGTGATTAAATAATAGAATTCAAGATTGCAGTTCTGAGAAAACAAGATACAAGAAAACACAGGAAGTTTAATGAACTCAGAAATAAAATCAATGAACAAAAGGAGAATTTTACCACAGAGATTGAAACTTTAAAAAAAGAAACTAGAAATTCTGGAGCGGAAGAACTGGATAAAAGAGGAGAAAATGAACTAGTGAGCCTAGGAAATAGAGCTAACCAGATAGAGGAAATAATTAGTGATCGAAGATAGAAATCTAGAAATGATGCTGGTGGAAGAAGAGTGAGACTTGAGAGTAAAAAAGAAAAGAAAAAAGAACTACGAGAACTGAGAACTATCTGACTCCCATCAGAAAGAACAATATAAGAATAGTAGACATACCAGAAGGAGAAGGGAACAGAGAGCCTATTCAAACAAATAGTTGACAAGAACTTCCCAAGTCTTTCGAAGGAGCTGGGTCCTCAAGTCCAAGAAGCAAACAGAACACCTAATTATCTCAAATCAAAAAGGCCTGCAAGGCACATTATATTAAAACTATCAAAAATTAATGACAAAGAAAAATTCTCAAAGCCAGAGAAAAGAAGACAGTAACCTATAAAGGCAATCCCATTAGATTACCATTGGATTTCTCAAGCTAGGAGAGAGTGGAGTCAAATATTCAAACTATTGAAAGGTAGGAATTACCAGCCAATAATATATCCAGCAAAGTTAACCTTTACATATGAAGGAGAAATAAAGACTTTTACAGACATATAGAAGCTGAGGGAATTTCCCACAAGACCTGCATTTTAGGAAATAATGAAGTTATTCTACCTGAAACAAAAAGACAAAAGGGACAAAACTATGAGTTAGATGACTAACAGACAGAAGCAGGAAATTGCAATCTTTATTCAGAATAGGGTATTATACATTTAAGTATAACATAGAAGTTAAAGGAGGTAAAAAAAATTTTTTAAGAGAAGAAATTAGCTACAGCAATTCAGAAATGAATTCACAGCATAAATAGGGATACTTTGTAACAACAGAAATATAAAAGGGGAAGGGACAAAGGTCTGAATTTGCAAAGGAAGATGGAGATTAGATGTATTCAAAAGAAAAAGACTATTTATGAAATTTTTTTTAACAAAAACATAATGGTAACCACATACAAAAAACACAAATCTGAGATACTTAAAGAAAATATTTACCCCCGGCCAGGCGTGGCTCAGTGGTTGGGTGCCAACCTAGGGTCCAGGCGATCAGGGTTCGATTCCCGGCCAGGGCACATGCCCAGGTTGCGGGCTCGATCCCCAGTCGGGGGCGTGCAGGAGGCAGCCGATCAATGACTCTCTCATCACTGATGTTTCTATCTCTCTTTCTCTCTCTCTGAAATCAATAAAGATAAATTTTTTTAAAAAAAATAAAAAATAAAAGAAAGAAAATATTTACACCTGTTAGAATGGCTGTTACCAACAAGACAGGTAATAACTTATTAACTTAAAAATATAGAAAACAAAGGAAAAAAATATGGACGCCACCAAACAAAACCAACAAACAGAAACAAAGTGAAACAACCAATGGAGACACAGAGGTACCAGAAAATCAAAGAGAAAAATGGCTATAAAAGATCCTCATACATCAATAATTACCCTAAATGTAAATGGACTGAATTCACCAATAAAAAGGCACAGAATAGCACATTGGATCAAACAAAAACATATGCTGCCTCCAGGAGACACATCTCAGCTGCAATGACAAATAGGCTCAAAGTAAAAGGATGAAAAGTGATTCTCCAAGCAAATGGCTTTCAGAGAAAAGCAGGTGTAACTAAACTTATATCTGACAAAATAGATTTCAAGATAAAAAAGTGTAACGAGACAAAGGTGGACATTTTATAATGATAAAGGGGACAATACATCAAGAAGACATATCAATATATATTGTACTCAACCAGGGAGCACCAAAATATATAAAGCAACTACAAACAGAACTCAAGTGAGAAACTAACAAAAACATAATTGTCATAGGGAACCTAAATACCCCACTGACAGTTATAGATAGATCACTCCCCCCAAAAATCATAAGGAAATACCAGCCTTAAATGACACTTTGGACCAAATGAACATAATCGACATTTACAGAGCCTTTCATCCCAGAACATCAGGACATTCTCCAGTGCACATGGAACATTCCCAAGAATGGACCATATGTTGGGACACAAACAAGCCTCAACAAATTCAAGAAGATTGAAATTATACCAAACATATTCTTCCATCAAAATGCTTTGAAATTGGAAATCAGCTGCAAAACCAAAGCAGGAAAAGCCACAAGTATGGGGAGATTAAACAGCATGCTATTAAAGGATGACTGGGTCAAAGAAGAAATAAAAGGAGAGATCAAAAGATACATAGAGACAAATGAAAATGACTGCCACATATCAAAGCTTTTGGGATGCAACTAATTAAAGAATAGTACATTTCACTTAGAATGAAGAATAGATAATTTATAAAATAAATAATTCATTTACTTTCAAATGAATTACAGAACTCCAATTTTTATGGTAAATCATAAAGTATCAATTTAATTTCCTACAATCAACTGGAGCATTTCCTTTTTCATTTAAATATTTCCTCATGTCCAAAATGAAAAATCATCTTGTAGTTCTATCCTCTCTTCTCTTCACAACCAAAGTTCTTGATAGTGCTCTACACTCCCGAGGTCAGTTTCCTCACTGCTAATTCACTGCCAAGCCCACTATAAATGGACCCCTCCCCATCATTCTACCAAAATTGCTCCATTGTTTTCTGTATCACTAAACCCAAGACTTATGGTTCAGCCTGTATTTTATTGACCTCAGACCATCATGTTACAGGGTTGACTCCCTCCTTTAAAACAGGACTTGCTCCATCTCCACGGTGCGTTCAGCTCCACGTAGCCTACCCATTCACAAGGGGTCCCCTGAGACACACGCATCTCCATTTGCTTCTGTGTTACTTTGAGACCCTCAGTACTGTGGCCACAGGGAGATGGGCCTTTGCAGCACAGACACATTCCTGAGGTGGAATCTCTTTTTCCCAAAGCCAAATCTACAGCGATAAGAGTGAAGGAAGAGGTGTGGGGCGGGGAGGCAGAATCCACCCGGCTCCAAAGCCGCCTCCCTGGAAACAGAATTAGCACGCGTTCAGGTCTGCCACTTGCTCTGCGCCCCCAGGGAGCTGGATGGCTTCAAGAGTAGAGCATCAGAGGAACAATTTATTTAATGAGGAAAGAGGACACATCATCCCCCTGGGCCTTGAGGAGCCATAAGTACTTCCCTGGCATCCTCACCCGTAGTTCAGTGACGCCTGACGAGGGGAGACCACACTTGTGCCTCTCACAGACATGACTTTGTGACAAGCTCCATCTCTACCATTCCCTGGGTGAGTGTCTTCAGCATCCAACAATCAGAGGAGAAAGAATTGGTACAAATATTTAAGCAGTGCCGGTGGAGTGAGTCACCTGGCCTAGCCAGTACTGTGTATGGAAAGGAATATTTAAAAAGTGGGGAGAGGGCCCTGGCCACGTAGCTCAGTTGATTAGAGCGTCATCCCGATACACCAGCGCTGTGCATTCAATCCCAGGTCAGGGCCCACACAAGAAGCAACCGACTAATGTCCAAATAAGTGGAACAACAAGTTGATGTTATTTTATTTTCATCTCTGAAATTTATTTTCCTGGTTATATATGTCTTTTTTTATTCCATTGTTTCTGTCACCACCAGCTCCAATGGAAACTCATTCTGGAACCAATGACTTGCTCAGTGTCAGTAGAAACTGGCACTTCCTCGAGTATAAAAAGTTCCCAGCGCCCTGCTAAGAGCTTTTGTCCTTGTCTAGTGCAGTAGTTCTCAAAGTGTGGTTCCTGAAGCAGCAGCAGTAGCATCAGTACCCCCGCCCCCCGGGGTGCTTGTTGGAAATGCAGATTCTCAGACCCACCCAAGACCTGCTGACAGAAATTATGGGGATGAGACCCAACAATCTGTTTCAACAAGCCCTCCAGGGGATTCCGATGCCTGCTATAATTGGAGAACCTCCGCTCCAGCAAAGTATCTGCTTCCACACCCCGGCCCCATCATCATTTGAGTTTTACGAGGTTATATATACTCCTTGATTCAACGAATATGTACTGAATGCCCACTATGTGTCAGATGTTATCTATGTTGTCATTGCAATTGTGAATGGACCTACTTTCCCTCTTATTTTTCCTAGTGATTCTTTGCAGATACAAGAAAGCTAATGACACTGATTAGTCCGAATGGTGTTTAAGTTGACTTTCTTTAGTGTTCCCAAGTAGGTAATCATATCAGCAGCTGATAGTGACCAGTTTTGCTTTTGGTTTTCAACTATTACATCTGATTTACTTTTGTTTGATGGCATTCCTTTTGAATTATTAGAAACAACATTAAATAATGATAACAGCAGGCATAATTTCTCCCTGCTGCTTCTTATGAGTTTGTTTTGTTTTTTAGGGTTTAATGATGGATCTTGGATTAGCACTTGAAATTTTACTGTTCCCTTCCCATCAATGACTGTTCAATTTATTATATGCATTTATGTTGAAACTATCATTATTTCTGCATTGGTCTATTCATGCAAATACTTTTGTTATCTGACTTTCTAATATTAAATATTTTTGTGCCTTTCAGATGAACATTAATGCATAAGGGAGTATGTTATTTTTATCAAGCCGACAACTTCATCTTACTCCTTCAGATTGCTGCATTTGTAGTCCGTGTGAGTTTAGCTTGTGGATTTCTTGTTTGTGTTATGTATTATTTTTGGTTTCAACCTTCATTCAACTTTTCATGCTCTTTGAGAACAAACCACTGTGAATACCAGGATCAGTAAATGTTATAGCGTGTGATCTGAACTTGTGTAGCTTATGATTCAGTGGTGAAAGGGACAGATATTAATTAAATAATTTCATAACTAAATGCAAAAACATAACAATGACTTAGGCAATGAAGAAGAATACAGGGGGCTATAAAAGCACGGACTGGGGGGCTGTGCTTGCTGGTCAGGGAGGGTTCAGGAAGGCTTCTTTGAAGAAATGATGTCCCATATAAGAGATAAAGACAAGAATTATCACAGAAAGGCAAAGGCATGGAGGACCACCCCACCCGGAGGGCAGTGCGTACACAGGTGTGGCTGGGAGATTTTTAGGATTCCTAAGAAGTCAAAAGAGTTGGAACTGGGAGAGTGAAAGGCTAGTGTTGTGCTTAATAACATTGGGAGGTTGGAAGGAACCAGCATGTGCTGGCAAACCTGGAAAGGGCATTAAAAGAAAGAAAAATCATAGACCAGCCTCCCTTATGGACACTGAGGCAAAAATCCTCAGATGAAAGCACCTTTCAGAGCATATTTGTGTTTGTTTCTGCCTGGGGCTTAGGATATATGTCAACCAGGACCACTTGGGACTGAATTCCTGTGGCTGAGGTCTAGGTGGGTGTGAATGTGGGCTCTAACTCTGGGTAGTCGCCTCAGCTACACTGATGTTGGATGTCAGACCCTTTCTGACTTTTCATGGATGGATTTTCTTCTTTTTCTACCCTGTACTATTAGGCATTGTGTGAAAGTGTTCTTTAACTCTGAATTTTTTACATTATTTTGGGTTTAAAGAACAGTTGAAAGAATAGTTCCTATGTATATCCTTTACTGGATCCCCCAAATGTTAACATTTTTTACCACCCTCACTTTTTCTGTCTTCCTTTTGTGTGTGTGCACATGTGTGTGTGCGTGTATGTTTTCAGAACCATTTGAGAGTACCTTGCACCTCTAAATCATTGATATTCCCTAAAAACAAGGACATTTTCCTCACACAGCCTCAGTACAATGATCAAAATCAAGGAATTATCGTTGATATAATACTGTGATTACATTTATAGACGTCAGTCCTATTTTGACAATTATCCTAATACTGTGATCTAGAGCCAAAGAAAACCCAAGATCATGCGTTACATTTGGCTGACACCTCTTTAGCCGCCTTTAATCCAGAACAGTTCCTAGACTTTCTTTGAATTCGATGACGCTGACATTTTTGAATGTCCCTCAATTTGGGTTTGTCTGATGCTCCTTAGTCTTTAGATTGAAGTTCTGTGCCTTTGGCAAAAGGCCTACGTAGTGACATTGAGTCCTTTCCAGTGCCTCCTACCAGGAGGCACATGATATTGATTTGTCCCACTTTGCAGCTTCATGACCACCTGACAGGGTTGTTATGAAAGGGATGCTTAAGATAAGTGGTCAGGAATTCTGTTTTGTAGGATTCTATTTTGGTTTCATTGTTATAAAATGGTTACTTAAGATGAGTGGGGGGGAGAAGAGGCCCCATTGTTTAGGATTCCATTTATATGTGAACGGAGACCCAACTTTTAGACAAAGTGGCAGACTTTATAAATAACTTCCATGAAAGGCATAGTCAACATTTCTGTTATGTGGAAGGTGATAGTCTGTGCTAATTTGTGTTGTTCTTGCCTTTTCCTTCATAGATATTTCAACTACATGAAAGCAGGAAACAAAACAGGAATTTTCGAGTTTACCCTCCTTGGACTCTCTGAGGACCCAGAACTGCAGCCCCTCCTACTGGGGCTGTTCCTGTCCATGTACCTGGTCACCGTGCTGGGAAACCTGCTCATCATCGTCATCATCGGCTCCGACCCCCGCCTCCACACGCCCATGTACTTCTTCCTGTCCAACCTGTCCGTGGTGGACATCTGCTTCAGCACCACCATAGTCCCCAAGATGCTGGTGAGCATCCAGACAGAGAACAAGGCCATTTCCTACATGAGCTGCCTCACTCAGGTATATTTTTCCATGTTTTTTCCTATCCTGGACACTCTGCTCCTGACCGTGATGGCCTTTGACCGGTATGTGGCCATCTGTCAGCCCCTGCACTACACGGTCATCATGAACCCTCGCCTCTGCGGCTTGCTAGTTTTTATGACTTGGTTCATTGGTGTCATGACATCCCTCCTCCATATCTCTCTGATGGTGCATCTGAATTTCTGCAGAGATCTCGAAATTCCGCATTTCTTCTGTGAGCTGACACAGGTCCTCAGGTTGGCCTGCTCTGACACCTTCCTGAATAGCATATTGGTATATTTTATGACGGGTGTGCTGGGTGTGGTCCCCCTTTTGGGGATCCTATTCTCCTACTCAAGAATTACCTCTTCCATAAAGAAGATGTCCTCATCGCAGGGAAAGCAAAAAGCATTTTCCACCTGTGGGAGTCACCTCTCAGTAGTTTCTTTATTTTATGCAACAGGCATTGGGGTTTACTTCACTTCTGCAGCGACTCACTCTTCCCAGAAAGTCTCGGTGGCCTCAGTGATGTACACTGTGGTCACCCCCATGCTGAACCCCTTCATCTACACCCTGAGGAACAAGGATGTGAAGGGGGCCCTGGGAAGGCTTCTCCACAGAGCAGCCTCTTGTCTGTGCTAGATCCATGGGCCCTGGGACTGAAGTTTAGTGAGTACTAGTGGCAAAAACTTTCATTCTAAAGTTCTTACTCTTAAGTCTCTCAAGCTGTCATTCTTTTATCCAGTCTAAGGATCTATGACTTTGCTCTCTCCTAGTTTTTAACACACATTTAAACAACTAATCTCCCAGTGATTCCTTTGATGATCTTTTTGTCCCATCTGCTGTCCAAAAATTATGTCCTTGGTCTTCTTCCTTACCTTCACACTAGTGAGTTCTAAACTTGGATTTGAAGAGAGCTTAAACTACTAGAGAGTTTAAACTACTGATTGTTCACCTTAATTTATTTCTATGTGTTTGATTATGAATTTGTGCTATTTGTGTGTGTGTATCACCAACAGTGTTTTTTTTTTTTTACTGGATAAAGTATGATTAAAATACATATCAAAATACAGTTGATGTGTCAGTGCTTGTTATACGGTAAGCCTGTGCAAACTGTTCTCTGTTATCTTCCGTAATCTTTGCAATAGGGAAAATTACTGTCCCCATTTTAGAGGTGATGAAACTGAGACTCTAAGAAAGCTAAAAACAAAACAAAGCTTTCCCAAAGTTATAGAGGGATGAGGGACCAAGTGGCAAAAGCAGGATAAACCCAGAACTCTAACCCTGAGCCCATAGTCTTATCTAACAGTCTTCACCGTTTTTCACATGGATTTTGATGTTGTGTCCATGTCTTTGGTAGATTTTACTGCTGATTGACAATATTTCTAATTATCCTCTCCTATTGCATACCCATGAGAATTGCATTTCCTTTCCCTCTAAGGTAAAGGTGGCAATGTTTTTTTCTGTCCAATAAAATATGAGTGCATAAAATATGAGTCCAATAAAACTGATGCATTCCTTCTAGGCTAGTATATTTAAGAGCTGGTAAATTATTCTTTAGATTCACTCTGCCTTTGATATGACTGTTGTGGAATAAGGACATCATAAGATCAAAATAGTCTAGAAAGCTGGCAAACACATGTAAGACTTTACTGGATAGTTACTCAAGTCCATATATAAATGATTTTTTAAACATAAAATCCCATAAATTCTGTTAGTGCCACAATTCATAATCTCCTTTCAATGTGATATATCTGTGATATGACATGATAATCATGACCAGAATGAGATGAAGGGGCATTTCCAGCACAGCCAGTTGCTACTCTATTTACCCAGAATATTGCTAGGTTTTCTTAGAAGGTCTACTCCTATGTACTCCTTGGAGTCCTCAGCATCTCCACATCTTGGTTCCTCTTCTATGTCCAACTTGAATAGTTCAATCAAATAGCCAAAAGTCTCAAGACTTTACATATCAACCAGCGATAGTGATGTATTTGGTGACAAAGAGAGATCAGATTATCACTAGGTTACTTTGTTTAAAGGAAAAATAATATTCAAGAAAGACTTGTCATACAGCTTAGTGTTAGTATATGTAGTATATATGTCTGTGTCTATATCTATCTATATCTATCTGTCTATCTATCTACCATCTATCTGTCTTCTATCCATCCACCCATTCATACTAGATTCAGCCTAAGACATCAACATGTCTCTGAGCTCTTCTCTCTCTGTTTCTTAGTGAATGAGGAGGTTTCTGTGGAGAAAATGAAGCAGGGTGTTTCTGAGTATGCCAGTGTGCACAATGAAACATTTTCAGGAACCAAAGATGGTTCAGTGATGAAAGAAGAATCACATAGAAATATATGACTGAGAGAAGTGGAAATCATAAAAGAGTAGAGTCTTATGTGGGCATGTGTGTTTAATATTATTTAATATCATAACTTCCATAATAACTATATTGACTATATATAGTGAATAATATCATAATATAAATATTTCTTATTTTTAAAATTAACTTTACTTTTTAAAAAAATTGATTTCTACTTTTATTTTTAATTTTAATATTTACTGACTCATTCTTTTATTAGGTTTATTTTCTTAATTTTTCTAAATCTTTAAAACTCAACACTTTAAAGTGCTTGATGATAAAAAAATGTAATATATGTTAGAAAACTTGGAAAATGCAAATAAGAGATACCAAAAGAATAAAGCACAATTTACATCTTGATGCATTTACCTATCTGTGTGCACTATATGTTTACAGACAAAACATTATTTCCTGATTATCCCTTCCAGGCTGCAACTAGTTTAATAAGTATTTTCCCACCAGAGATGAGTTTGACAAATTTGATTATTGTTATATTTTAAAATATTTGTACTTTCAGAAATGAAAAGGGGAGCTTTGATTTTTTTTTCTATTCACTGTTATTTTTAGTTAAATTGCACAATGTTTAATACTAGTTGAACTATAGAATGTTCAGTTTAAAAAGACATAAGCCAGGGTGCTGGAGATTAAACCCCATTTTGTATCTTACTGGGTATATGACCTTAGGCAAGTCATCTCACTTCCCTGGACCTCAGAACCCTCTGGGGGGTTGGGGGGAGTTAGAATCACCACACCAGGTAAGCCATCCAGAGTAGCAGAGATATTACTCAAGGGTGAGGGGAATTGAGAATGCCTAGTAGAGGAGAGAGACACCGAGTGTCAGTTGTGGCTTTGAGACCATCTACAGTAGCAGGAGCTATAGTTCTTCCCACTGATCCTCCTCTTTTTAGTGCATCTCATTCACCCTCCCCTGTAAAACATGCATTGAAACCATGGAAGAGCTTCTCCCAAAACTTATACAAAAAGTTGATCTAAGTAAAGGAAATAAACAAACAAACAAGTGAGCCCACATCCAACCAAAAGGTTCTGCACAGCAAAGGAAACCATTAACAAAATAAAGCAACCTACCGAATGGGAGAAAATACTTGCAAATTATATATCTGATAAGAGGTTAATACATAAAATTTATAAAGAGCACATATAACTCAACAGCAAAATAATAAAATCCAATTAAAAATGGGAGAAAAGTGAAAAGTGTTTCCTTAAGATCCAGAACAAAACAAGAATGCCCACTTTCCCCACTTTTATTCAATGTAGTATTGGAAGTCTTTACCACAGCAATCACACAAGAAAGAGAAATAAAACACATCCAAATTGGAAAGAAAGAAGTAAAATTGTCATTATTTTCAAATGAATATTTAGTACTATATAGGGAGAACCCTAAAGATTTTACACAAAAAAAAGTATTAGAACTGCTAAATTAATTTAGTAAAATAGCAGGATATAAAGTTAATATTCAAAACTCAGTTGCATATTTATACACCAATAATGAGCTATCAGAGAAATTAAGAAAACAATCCTATTTACAATTGCATCAAAAAATAATAAAATACCTAGGAATAAATTTAACCAAGGAGGTAAAAAGCCTGTACTTGGGAAACTATAACAAATTAAAGAAAGAAATTGAAGCCCAGCTGGGCGTGGCTCAGCGGTTGAGCGTAGACCTGGGATCCAGGCGATTGGGGTTCGATTCCCAGTCAGGGCACATGCCCGGATTGTGGGCTCGATCAATGACTCTCTCATCATTGATGTTTCTATCTCTCTCTCTCCCTCTCCTTTCCTCTCTCTGAAATCAATAAAGATATATTAAAAAAAGAAAGAGAGAGAGAGAGAGAGAGAGAGAGAGAGAGAGAGAGAGAGGGGGAGAGGGGGAGAGAGAGAGAGACATCGATGTGAGAGAGACACT